GAGAGAGAGAGAGAAAGAGGAGAGAGGGAGAGTTCTCGCTCATGACAATGTTTAATACACCTAAATTCAGATCATAGTACACACTTGAAAGAAGGAATCAAAAAAGCTGCTGCTGTCTCGGTGATCGGCCAAAACCGTGAAATTTGGAGTTGCACCAGAAGCGGTTTTGATTCCTTCCATCAAGAATGTTATTCACATAATGTGATAAATACAAACACACTTACACTGGCATTGTGGTACTGACGTGAGTTGTCCATTGGCCGTGCACATCGGCGTGGCATCACCCACAACTCCATGATACTGATCACAGGAATATGTGACATTATCCAGGTAGTGGATCTCGGTCTTGTCAGCTGTGCCATCAGCTATAATGGGCACAGTACAATTCACAGCTGGGAACAGAGAGAGAGAGAGAGAAGAGAGAGAGAGAGAGAGAGAGAGAGAGAGAGATAGAGAGAGAGAGAGAGAGAGAGAGAGAGAGAGAGGAGAGAGAGAGAGAGAGAGAGAGAACGAGAGAGAGAGAGAGAGAGAGAGAGAGAGAGAGAGAGAGAGAGAGAGAGAGAGAGAGAGAGAGAGAGAGAGAGAGAGAGGGAGATAGAGAGAGAGAGAGGGAGAGAGAGGGAGATAGAGAGAGACAGAGAGAGAGACAGACAGAGAGAGAGAGAACGAGAGAGAGAGAGAGAGAGAGAGAGAGAGAGAGAGAGACGTGAACATTGCAACGTCATGAGGAACACATTTTGATCCATTCAGCGCTACTGGACATTCCCTATTGTGCTCTGCATGTACATGATAAAAAAAATAGAGCCAAGAGTTCCAAGAGTTCCAAGAATTCCAAGACTCTAGATTTCTGGTACTAGTAATTGGAGTCCTCGTTTTTGTTTGGAAATGTTGGCCATGACTACAACCCACAGGGTGACAGAATCGATACAGTCCCCAGCAAGAAGAAGGAGAGCTACATGTAAGCAAAATAGTTTGCTCCCTTTAGCTGAGATACTCTATAAATGTTCAATTGGTTAAAACAAGTGACCGACAAAACCTGATGCAAAGTAATTAATGAGGCAGACAGAGAAGTGTTATGACAGGTTTAGTTGATAAAGGGGAGAACAGCTAACAAGCAGCTCTTCAACCAGTTGAGCATGCCACATAGAATAGTTGCTGTGCTATTTGCGTTACGCAGGGAGAATACATTTCTCCGGGAAACGCACTGCTTGGATTTCTAAAATCTGCTTTTTCCTTCTGGGTTGTAAATCACACCGCTTCCTTGTTACCTGCACTGAATAGCGTGATGGGGATATCACCTCATTGCTACCCGCACTAAATAGAGTGATGGGGATATCATCCCTGTGTTACAACTTCAGGGGAGAACAAGAGAGTAGCCTGCACGGGCCAAGTAAGCACTTGAACATCCCTAAAAATGTCTACCTAGGTTCAGAGTGCACATACCATAATCACTATGAATCGAGCAGCCATCCTACACATATGGGGCCATGCACCCCCCCCCCCCCCACCCCCCCCCCCCCCAACCCCGCCAAAAACCCCAAAAGGGGACTAGCTACTATTCCTCTGGTCAAATGGATGGAAAGCATCACGCGATCATTGATACCTGGTCTGAACAGATGCATAGGGGTTTCCCCTCGGTACTGCCTGTCCTGAGCAGAGCAAGATGTGCATCACTTACAGATCTCGTTTCACTGCCGAGAGTGTTAAGAGCCTTGTTCGGCTTTCCTAACACTGGGCCTCTCCAAGCTACGGCACGTTGTGTTGCGAGGCGTATTGCGCATCCAGCCTTGAAGGAAGCGTCCGAGATGATCTTCCCATTGTACACTTTGCAGAAATCCTGTGCGAAGGCGTAGTTCAATGGACGGTGGGATAGTACGAATGTGGCAGAGTTGCACTTGCGATAGTTGGTGGGTGTAGCAACTGCAATCAAAAAAACAAAACAGAAAACGAAGAATCAACAATCTCGTCTTGAACAGTCATTCGGTAGCATTCCCATCTTATAGATATGAAGAGTGGACAGCGAAACTGTAAATGCATCTTGCTGTAAATGAATGAAATCACACACAAATGCATGCGGGGATCCAAGTGCATTCGTCACGACAACATTCAGACATTACTCGCTATGGTAACGCATGTCAAGTGTCAATGTCAGGGACCTGCTAGGTTCCTGATGTAATGTAGAAGCAAGAGTACATATCTCCCCCCCCCCCCCCTGAGTATGCAATGTCTGAGCCAGCTCTGCATAGGGTCGTGGTCCAGCGTAGTCGGATCTTCTGATGTCATGCGTACACTCCACACCAGCACAAGGCCGGTGTTGAGGCAGAGCTGGATCAGAAGTTGCACACTCTGGGGGTTATAATACTCCTGGTTACACGGTAGAAGTAGGTAATCATCATTACCTTCCCATATAGTGCATTACCTTCCCATATAGTGCATACCTTCCCATATAGTGCATAGCCTGGTGCCTTTGACGGTCATTTCATAAAAACATTTTTTTCGAAGTAAATGAAAAGGCGACGAGGAGACAATAACTTTATTAATGCGATTAATAGTATAAGTGAAGCGGACATTACAAAATGATGAATGAGAATACATGTATCTAAAATGGTTGTTCCTAATCGATTTTCTTGAGACTATCATCAGGGAAAATCGTCTCACAATAGAGGCTATACGGAGAAACAAACTACTTATAGGTTAATGGATAGTGGGAAGTATACAAGGTGAGGTGTGAAAAAAAACTAAAGTGGGAGAGAAGACGAAAGAAATTAGAAGAAAAGATGTGAGAGTGTTCCGACGGTGTGAGCTACTACAAAAGGTGAGTGAAATGAAGGCGTGGAAGCATGTGAATGTGATAGAGTGAGGAACTGTGAGGTGTAGGTGTATGCGAATGAATACGTGTGTGAATGCTAGGTGAAGAGTCTCAGTTTTGTGACATTTTCTTTCTGAATGCATAGATTAGGATTGTGTTTACGGATGAAAACAGCTTCTAATACCTTAAGTTCACGAAACCTACGAGCACGACACAAAACAGTGAAGCATGAATCATCATACACTGAGCGGCATTGGCTACTAGACAAGAGGTGTTTCTTAATGGCTGACCCTTTCGTTGTGGTCTCACCTTCAGTCCGGTCATCTTCATCTTGGTTGTCCAACTCACTCTCTTCATCACTGCTCTCACCTTCCTCATCCTCCTCCGCTTCCATCCCGTCCTCTGCACCCAACGACAATCCCACGCTACTGCTCGCTGCCAGTCCATGTCCGGTTGTAGATGCTATTACCCGCGTACGAGTCATGCTCCTAGTTATTGGTCTCCGTACCTGTGTTTGGCCATTTCCTTCAGTCTCACGTACCTGTGTACTTGTAGTCCGTTTCACTCACCTTTTGTAGTAGCTCACACCGTCGGAACACTCTCACATCTTTTCTTCTAATTTCTTTCGTCTTCTCTCCCACTTTAGTTTTTTTTCACACCTCACCTTGTATACTTCCCACTATCCATTAACCTATAAGTAGTTTGTTTCTCCGTATAGCCTCTATTGTGAGACGATTTTCCCTGATGATAGTCTCAAGAAAATCGATTAGGAACAACCATTTTAGATACATGTATTCTCATTCATCATTTTGTAATGTCCGCTTCACTTATACTATTAATCGCATTAACATTTTTTTCATTCATAAAAACATGGACTTCTCGCTTTTGACCAAACGGGTCAAACTTTGAGTTTTATAAGAATTAGTCCGGCAATCCCCTGTGGAATACTCTTCCAATCATGTGTTATGAAGTCTGCTTCTTCGAAAAAGCAACGGGAACAAGAACAGGATTTCAGCCGGGTTTTGCTCCGGAAGAACTGAATTGGGAAAAAAACAAGGCCATTTCACCCTATGTGAAACAGTACAAAACCAGTCAAGCGCCGAAAACAAGATCAGCGTCCCGGATGTGAGGAAAGCAAGTAAGGAGTACAGGAAGCACTTACGGTGGCAGTACGGGATTGTACTCAAAGTAAAGTCATCCCGGCACGTAACTGTAGACTTTCCCAGTATGATGTAGCCCTGATTGCACGAGTAGCGAACCGTGGCACCACGTTGGACCAGCGGGGCACTGCTCACACCAAACTGGATTGCAGGAACCGTGCAATTGAGGACTGGGCAGTGAAAAAAGACAATACGACATGGTCAGATCATGTCAGGCCATAGGCAAATATCTCTGGTGTGTCTCGCTCCGGTGAAAGTTAATCGTTTCTTCAGAATTTCTCCAATTTCATCCGACTCACCGAACATTCTCTTCAAACAAGCTACTTTCAACCGGAATCAAACTTCAAACTGGAGAACTGACAATACAATGATACTGTGCATATGTAGATAGGGTTCCATTGCGGAGAAACGGAACTTGTGCCTGCATGGGATAACGGATTTCAGAATTTGGAATGTGGTTCAGTCCCTAGACATGTGGGACAGTATTTAGGAAACGTTTGTAGTACACCCAAATCCCTTTAGGGACCCGTGATAATTGTTCGCAAAACCGGGAGTTCTTCTTGTCAATAGTGTACACCCAGCGAAAACACACAGATTTATGAAATAGACTTAAATTATTTGAAACTCGGATATTGAGCCAATAATAAAAGTATAAAGGAAAAGGACATATGGAAACGAGTTAAGAGTAACTCTCCACCACTGTAACTAGATACTATATACAGTCAGAAAGTGCTTGTGCTCATTTTCGTTGCGCTTGCCTTCCCCTCTTTGGTCTTTCCATAACCTTGAACCTTCCAAGTTGGAAGGCTGTCGGTTAGCGCTACGGAGATGTGTTGAAGCTAGGTGTCAGGACGTCGAATGTCTCAGTACTCTGTCAGTTTTGTGCCTAGTTGTTGCACTTTCTGACTGTATAATAGTATCTAGTTTCAGTGGTGGAGAGTTACTCTTAACTCGTTTCCATATGTCCTTTTCCTTTCTACTACTATTAAAATTAGTAAAAATTTGGTTTGTGAGCAACACTGCCTCACACTTAATCACTGCTTTTCACAAGAAAAATATTTTAATTCAAAGTTTCGGTCATGAAATAACCATCATCAGGAATCATTCCTGATGATGGTTATTTCATAACCGAAACGTTGAATTAAAATATTTTTATAGTGAAAAGCAGGTATTGAGCTTGAGCCAGTGTTGCTCACAAACCAATTTTTTACTCATGAAGCTGCGTGATGCGTCCTACAAAATTAAATTAGTGTTATTCTAAAGTGACCATTTGCCTTATCAGTGTTCTTCCTAAAGAGGTGGAGGGGGGGGGGGGTCACTGTAAACCCATGTGCACTCACCATCGCAATGAGGCACAGAAGTGAGCTGTCCACTAGCCAAGCAGCTTGGCGTGGCATGACCGATAAGTCCAAAGCCCTTATTGCATGAGTAGGCGGCGCTGCTCTGGAATTGGATCTCTGCGCTGCTAGCAACGCCATTAGTGATAATGGGTGCATCGCAGACCACGGCTGTAGACAGATTGAGAACAGGAATGCAACACAATCCTGTTGTTACATACCCTAACCTTAAATCATTTCTGACTTCCCCAAAGCAATACGCCCATTGCACTATGACGTAATTTGTATCATGAAGACCCCACACAGCCACCTGGGCATGGTTGTCTGGGGTGTTGAACAGTGCACAGCTGATCCCAGCGTACTCACATGCATTACTCATACCTGCCATATTTGGCAATGCTCTATGGGCTTATTAGCTGGTAGGTACTACAGTGGACTGCCTACAACCTGTCTCTCATAGAAGCCTATTTGGACTAATGGCCTGGTTTTCGAGATGCACTCTCCGCACATAAGCCTGATCCTAGTATTGGCATCGGCTTGTGTAGGAATAAGTCCTGCTTCTGTACATGACATGGGCCAGTGCATGCGAAAACGTGTCTTCGGGGGAAACCGATTTCTTTCAGAATTTTGAGAAAATCGCTCGGAAAGAAGAGTTATTTTTTTTGTGGCTCAACCGCGAATCTTGTCTACTCGATATCAAGACGACAAGAGAAGCGACCGACAAGCGATCATCATGGACGTGGTGGCGCAGGAGGAGTTGGAATTAGCACTTGAGGAAGGGCCTATGAGTAGACACACTCGTGGCAGACGCCGAGCAGCACGCCGGTTGAGCTGTACCGCTCGCGTGATTATCGTCGGCGCGTCCGAAGAGATTGGTAAGGTTTATTATCGAGGAGGAAGACGACAATTTATTTGACGAGTCGTGAATCGGAGCAGTCGGCAACTAGCAGCTGTTCTGCTCACAGTGACTCTGACGAAGCCCCAGCTAAGCGTCCGGGAGTGAAAGACTCCTGTGTTGAGGTTGAAGGCGAGTCGAGAGTGGATGAATTAGGCGGAGATTCTGTGGCCTCTGCAAGCGACGATGAGCAGGACGCGCTTCAGAGCATTGCCGCTGTGGACTGACTGATTCTTGGAGGCTGTGGCTGCGTTCGGAACTACCATTTCAGCAGCTTCACGTCGAGCGCAGTCCTCCATTACGACGACTAAATCTCGGCGATGAAATCGAAGGACCTCGGCATTTTTTATATTTGTGCGCTGGCTGCGCTGCACGCGTGACGATCCTGTCGACTGCCATGCATCAGTCGACAGCTTCCGCAACGGAAAGGACGCGCATCACGTTTGGATACACTGTGATGGGACACATCGTGTGTCGAACCGCGTTTATGCAGCTCCATGTGGTTGGCAGAATATGACTGTCTGCAAGTGGACAAGGAGAACATTAACTGTGACACTGGTGCACATGGAAAGCTGGCAATGTTCCTTGGAATAAATTTACTGCAGAAGTGGGAGACAGAGCGCAGCAGTTTATTCTGAACAGACTGAACTACAGCTTAGTGTTCGGTCTCCCTTTGTCTGTTGCACCAAGAGGGAGAGGTGAGGAATCTCCCATGAAACTTACCTACATCCGTCGCCTACAAGTTTGTCCTTTCGGAACATGTCGAGCAGTCTGGTGAAGCGCAAACCCTGGGTTACCATATTTTGTTTGTATCTGTGGACTAAGAAGTGCAAGTCCGTCGAGTTCAGGACGCAACGGATGGATGTGTTCAACAAGTGTGCGCTGCTCCGGGACGATATTTGTTCTCCTCGTGCAGAGGATGAAAAGAAGTCTGCAACGGAACCACTCCGTGACCATGTTGTCTTTGCACAAAAGGAACGCAAGTTCTTGTTAGGTCAACGCTGCAAGAATTTGCTGGACAATGTTGCCCGGTTTTGTCTGGATAACAAGGCAGCCTTCATTGAATGTCTTGACCAATACTAAAGGCTTGTACGCAAAACTGTTGCTGCTTTCAGCGACGCTGTAGATAATGCATTATACAAGGCATATTCCATGTTGGACAATGCCATAGAAATCATGGTCTCTATGTACTTTCAAATGTGATATCCAGCTTCATCTTCCATGGAGTTGTTCTCTAGACCCCAGTGATTGATTTTCAAGAAAGAAAAAAATTTCCAAAATTTGCCCTTAGACACGGTATTGCATGCACTGGCCCACATTATATGCCACGCCTCTCATACATGGCAATCCAGTTTCCGTGCGATCGCGATGTCCTGATTTATCCCTCACCAGGACTCACTCTGAGTTTAGTGGGAATGTTCGTAGTTCACACAGACCTATAGTATGCAGGGAACTGAGATCCAAACAACAGTGACGCTATGTACCGTGGTTTCCGGCGGATATAAGGCTTCATATTTTAAGCAGCATGTGAGTGCAAGATTTTTGTCACGAGATATAGGCATCTACCCTGCCTTTTCCGGCTCATTTGACCATCACGTTAAACGGCTGTTTTTAATATTTATTTATTTATGGATTCCCCAAAGGCCGAGGCCTAAGTCGAGCGGGTCTCCGTTCATGGCTTACTGGGAGTATATCTGCAAAATTATAACATATAGATTGAGAAGAGGAAGGGTTATAACAAATGCGTACTGTAGAAATCAGCCATAACATTCATGACTATGTTACAGACACTCTGGAAAGAATGAGACTTCTTGTGGGGTGAATTGTGAATGGTATTTCAAGTGTTGCCTATACTCCAGGGATGCCGGATACCAAGAGTACATAACCCCCCAAGAGTGTGCAACTCCACTATGGGTGCTGTCCCGACAGAATTTCAAGTTGACGTCATTTTGATGATGCAATGCGCACTGTACACGGATTATCAGACGAATCCGGAACCTGTGGTTGACCGAAGCCGATCGATCCTGTACAAATTATTGCAAAGAAAAACGTGTGATGCGTTGACACCCGTACACATGTTGTAAATCACTGGTGCAAGGAGCATTGCGTCATAAATAATGACGTCAACTTGAAATTCTGTCGGGACAGCAGGGTATGTGGGAGTTGCACACTCTTGGGGGGTTATGTACTCTTGCGGATACCAAGAGCACATAACCCCCAGAGGGTGCAACTCCTGATCCAGCTCCGTATAGGGTCTTGGTCGAGCGTAATCGAATCTTCTGCTGTCATGAGTACACTCCACACCAGTGCAAGGCCGGTCTCGAGGCAGGGCACCGTTGTTTTTGATCCGAGAGTACCCACGATTCCCCAGGTTCCACTCAGATGTGTACGGTATTATGACGCAAAGATCCGACTACGCTCGACCAAGACCCAATGCAGAGCTGGATCAGGCGTTGCACACTCGGGGGGGGGGGGGGTGTTATGTACTCTTGCTGATACATGTAGGTCTGTTTCTCTGGCACAGGAATCAACAATAGACTTCATAAAATAAGGAGCAAGAAGAGTGAGAGAGAGGCCCTACGAGAGTTTCAGAGATACATCTATATACTCTAAGCAAGGCAGAACAAATGAGACCATTGACTTTCACGCTGCTCGGAGTTTCGTGTTCAAAAACACTCACCAGGCGAGTGTTTTCGGGCACGAGACTCGAAGTCACGAGAAAGATGTTGGTCTCTGCTGTTCTACCTAGTCTATTACACCCCGCACTTGTGGTATGGAGCACTATGTTGCAGCAAGGACGTCAGACCCGTTGTCTAGGCTAGACTTACGTGTACAGTGAGGCATTGCACTGAGACTTCCGTGAGCTGTGCAAGTTGCGGACGAGCTGCCCACGTTCGTGAATCCCACCCTGCACGAATAGGTCACCGTTTGTGCATACTGGACCGCCGCCTGGTCAGCGGTGCCGTTACTAATGGCAGGCACACTGCAGGTGAGAGCTGTGCACAGAACGAGGGCAAAGAGGAAAAATGGACACATACGAGTAAAGGTAAAGTCGGAGGGAGTTGTGGTTGCTCGTGAGAGTGCTCAATACACCAAGGTGCAGAGCCTAGTACACACACTTGAGAGGAATCAAGAGCAGACACGTTTTTGATTCCTCTCAAGTGTGTGTAGAGGTAAAAATATTGGTCTGTAACATCCACCGTAGTGTGACTGTGTCTTTTGTAAAGCCTAGTTCACATTCAACGGGACGCGACGTAAGGATCGTCGAGAAGTAACAGAACGATCTGATGCTTTCCAATGCAAGCACCGGGAACGGGAACGCAACCGTACCACCATATAGATTGGGAAGCGATGGGAAGACGCGGCGTGCAAAGGGTTAATCTTACGATGGGCAATGACCAATAAAGGATTAAAGGCAGTTACAAAAGCAGAGATTCACTTTGTGTTGAACAGAGAGCAGCACTCACAGACGCGGATTGAGAATGTGTACGGTTCCATGGGTTGTCCGAGCAGCTACATGTCTATCCCCCGTGGATTACGTGATTACGCGGCCGCACAATTTTTCGCATAATCGAACATGAATCGCATTTTCTTACAACTTCCGCGTTGATGTCGCATAAACCTTGATTTCGTAGCAAAAAAAACAGCGAGGAAAGTCCGCGCAATATTGACCATCCGGCCGCATTTTCGGTCGCAGTCTGCACGACAAGAAGTGTGTCTTATCAGCGCTGAGCCCTTTCGATCATGTTTTCGTTCAGGTACGCTGCTTTAGTTTGCTCTAGCTGATGTCGATATTTACTAGTGCAATAGTGGCGGTTTACGTCTGGAGAAAGTTGTAGCAGCGATATCTTCTCAGGATCTTCTCAGGATCGGAATCGAAAATGAGATTTCCGTCGCTGAAGCCTTTGCAGTATTCGCTCCCCAAGCAGGAGTAAGATGGAGGACAGCGATGGCCTGAAACCACCGAGGCAGGTGAAGTTAGGTATCCAGTGACTATTCCTGGCCTTCTCAATCTTCATACCATCCAGACACGAGTAGATCAGCAAAAGGAAAGTACAATAATTATGTCATTATTTTGATAACCGCAATCAATAAAACTAGCTGAACCGACATTTGTGTACTTTATTCATGCAATGTAAAAACGGTGGAGACGATGTGCAATAAAACGATGAAAATATGAAGAAATGGTGTAGGGAAAAATATGGATTCAAACAAGTTTTCGTACAACACTCATCAGAAATCGTCGTTGTACTAAAGGACACTGAAACAAAAATTGAGTCTTTATAGAGAAATAGATTATGGGCTTGGATGGTGGATTAGTTGTGGTTGCTGTAGATTGGGTTGTTGGTGTTGGTGTGGGAGCTCCTGATATGCAAGGTGGGTCTTTTTGAGTCAGAGATTATTTTGAATGGATAAAATAAATCGAATCTGACATAATTATTTTATCAATGGAAATCTTGATGCAGAAGGCCCGCATAATGAATGTATTGCCGCATAATCCTTGCATAATTGACTGTTTAAGGTCGCTTAATTGTGCGCATAATTTGACAAGTTTGTCCGCGCAATTCACGGGGGACAGACATGTGGATGAGGTAAGACTGTCATCACACCATGGTTCAAAGTGCTGAGTCTACGCCCAAATAAGGAGTTTTTGGTCGGTTGTCATGATGATCCGCGTACGCTGTGAAAACTGGAGCAGAGGAAACGGGAGCAGTAGACGTGGTAGGGAGGAGGGTATACGACTTTTTAGATGATGTGCGTATCTCCCGCAGCCTTTTTCCGACTGACCTTGTACTGTGCTTCGATGTACTTGGGTTCAATTTTCTCAAAAAACGTGACTGCAGGTACGCATCAAGAACTGTCCCTGTCTGATGACATGACCACCCGTTTTGGTTTTTTCACCGTAGACATGAACGAGAGTCGGAGAACATAGTGTGATGACGGCCTAATCATAAGAGGTATGACTTGCGATTGTCATGGTAGTTGTTGTCAGGGTGACACACGGCTGTGCTTCAGTTAATTTCAGCGTCGCTGTTATGTGAGACATGTCAGGGAAAGGAGTGTTTTCGAAAAGGTTTTGAGGCACCGATAGAAATTTTGCATCCAGACTTCATCACTAAAACTCTTCTTCCGCTACCTCTGAAACTCGGACCACTAAAACAATCGTAAGTATTGGACAAAACGGATAACTTGTCCCCTCTTTTTTTAAGAAATACAAGGACCAAGGAACTACAAATTACGCTATGTGCACTAACACCACCAGTTACTAAACAATCAGCTCATGCGATAACATTGCACGACACTGACCGCGACCGTGGTGCTGTTAAAGGACATCATACCATAGCTTGTAGCTCCTTGGTCCTTTTCATTTCTTCTAAATTAATCCTTGGCTCTCCATCATGTGGAGCAAGAGGGTCCAGAATCTGCCTCGTTCCAAGCACTGGAGCTATCCATCAACACAAACGACATAAAAAACGTGGCCGTCCACCATTGTGGTGGGTAGATACGATTCGGCAAGACCTCGAAGGCAACGGATCTCTCCGTGGAGAGCGCTCTCCACGCTGCAGGAGATAGATTAACTTTAGCCTGGTTTGCTGAGTCTAAGGTTCGATGGACTTCTCGTGTTCTCTGAATGGCAGTCGTGAGTCAGTCAAGTGTCAAGTCAAGTCGGCGGAATGATAGCCCCAGCTCCAGTGTGGGAGCAAACGGTTTAACCCATTCCTAAACAATCAATATTTATATTATTAGATTACATCGTGAATTGCTTCCGATGCAGAGAACGCTAAAATAGCGTTCATTCGGTAAAATGTTCCGTTCTTCTGCACTTACTCTCGCAGTGTGGCACTGAGCTGAGCTGGCCCGTAGCGGTACAGGTAGGGCTGGCGTCACCCACAAGTACCTCGCCCGCGCTTCGGCACGAATAGGCGACCGCTTCCGTGACCAATACATCTGTGCTATTCGCATCGCCGTTATCTATCACTGGCACCCGACATGTCGTAGCTGTGAACAGAACGCGGACAACAACAGAAAACCAGAATTGCAAATGACACCAGAACACATACATGCAGTAACAATTAACAGAATGAGCGAGGCGGACATTGTACGTAGTAAAAACAAAATAGTGTGAGTTCTGACAACTAACTAAACTTCCTAGCAGATTTTCATGAGACCTTCTTCTGCTCATTGTTATAATGAAGACTTTGTCTGCACTTTGATTATCCAAATACTTAGTGCTGCTACATAATTCTAGTCATTCATTCAATATTCTTGACCTTCATGGGTCAGACTTATGGTGGTCCAAGAAGCAGAGCTGTATGGAGGAACTTTTACTTGTCCATATCCACAACCCCCATCACCGAATTCCTCGCAGGTCAGCTTGCCATGTCCTCACTGTTTTGTTTTCTCTGTATCTTCTTCGTTCGTGATTTGTCATCTGTGTATGCTGGTTCTTTTTCCAGTTTCTCTTTTGTTCACCTCCCATTCACTTCTCATTTTACCTAAGTGTACCCTTCCCCTAGTCCTCTCCTCTCACGTCCTTCCTTCGACTCTGTCCATGCTCTTGTGTTTTCAATTTCATGTAGTCTGTCCGTCGTTCCATTTCTCCTTCGTTGAATTTTTTTTACTTAGAAGTTGCGACTTTGGCGGTAATAGTCATGAAGTTGATTGTTCCAACTAGGAACACACGCTCAGTCAAGTGTCAAGTTCGGCAAGAAGCGTGTGTTCCTAGTTGGAACAATCAACTTCATGATTTTTTCGTAATCGTTTAGCTTCCTTTTTGCTTGTACGAATACTGTTCTTGTTTCGTTTCCCCACGCTTTATTTCTCTCTGTATGTTTTCGTCATGAGGCATTGGTATAATCAGTGTGGCACATGCGAACCTGGGCAACCTCCATCCGACGGGGGCCCCAGCAACGCGGACGTGCTTATAATAATAATATCTACAACTTGGAGACATGTTGCTGGTTGTGATGAGGTCGGCCAGAGAGTGCATGCGGTGGATGTGAAATTTCTTCATCAAGCCAAACACGTGTAAGTTTTAGAACAAGTTGGATATGGCCAGCAGTCCAGAACTTAGGTTAAAACAAACATGGCCACGTTCTGCATGTACATGTAGTGGTTATTCTATTTGACTACGACACACTCTGTGGATTTGAAATCACCATGGGGCTTTTGAAAAATGGCGGATGTCTCAGTGTCCAATTTAAACTAACAGGCTGCTTCTACAAGTTCCCGATATGCACAGACTACAATTCAGTTATCCATGACATACCTTTGGGCTAGGCCCGTCTTCAGATACCTTCGGGCTAGACCCGTCTTCAGATACCTTCGGGCTAGGCCCGTCTTCAGATACCTTCGGGCTAGACCCGTCTTCAGATACCTTCGGGCTAGACCCGTCTTCAGATACCTTCGGGCTAGGCCCGTCTTCAGATACCTTCGGGCTAGGCCCGTCTTCAGATACCTTCGGGCTAGGCCCGTCTTCAGATACCTTCGGGCTAGGCCCGTCTTCAGATACCTTCGGGCTAGACCCGTCTTCAGATACCTTCGGGCTAGACCCGTCGTCAGGCACCAGGATGCAAGTGGTTCTAACGTGTCGGCATGCTGCGCATTTGACCTGTTTTCTTTGCGCTGCGTAAGCAACACTTGGGGTTCGCTGTAAGAAAGCGACAACGCCTATAGGCACTTACCTATCATAAAATTTACTAGAGTCTGACCTCGCATAGCCGCCATCATCCGTTATCCACAAAACTATCCGGATGGGCGAGGAAATCGTATAATCGAACACACATACTGTATGTATGCATGGCATATGCTGTAAATCGGTAGCCAACGATTTTCATCCAGATGGTGAGGGATCCGGATAAAAGAGGACCGGATAAGCGAGGTCTGACTGCACTACATCTATTCATTATAGTTAGCAATACGTCCGACGCATTCACTTGGGGCGTATTTTGACCGTGGTGCCGAGACTTCAGGTCGGCAGAGCTATTAATACCCGACTATGACTGCTGTGGCTCGGTGCAGCCTCTGGTCGATAGTTGTCACGTTCGTCCTAGTCTCAGTGCCATTGTCTTTCTTTATTATTATACGGGTTGGGTATGTGAACATAGTAAAAATAAAAATAAAAATGACAACAGGGGAACCTCGCAGTGGACATAGTTTGATGCGCTCCCCATAATATCAAGCAAATGGCCGAGGGCCCTCTTGATTGGTGTGAGTTGCCTGTATGATGCAAGCCAGATATTGATTAATCGAAGAAGTATAGATTTGCCATCACTATGGATAAGAGTCATACTGTAGCTCAGTTGGTTAGAGCATTGTTCCCGAATAGCAAAGTCCCTGGTGCGATGCCCGGTGGTGTGACTGGTGATTTTTTCTTTCTTTAGTATCTGGCTTGCAAGTGGTGAGTTTCGGAGAGAAAAGAGCAGTACGCACGTGTATACGAGGCATGCGCCGTCTTATTTCCTAACAGGGGAACGCTATAATTAGAATATGCTTGGTCCGCGTCAGCGATATTGTCGCTTATCTTTCAGCTTTGTTTATATGTCGCCAATGCTCACTTGGCAGCCCATTTCATCCCAATTTTGGTTAGTAAGTTAGTTTTCTAGTACCTGAAAGGTCTTGCTAGATTTCGAGTGGATTTCGAGAGTGACGGGTGGGTGATTTTGATTGATAGAGCGCCGCATCAAAATAGATGATCTTGTTACGCTGTGCAGCCAAGAGCAGCGCAAGCCACAAGAAAGTAATCGGCTACTCAGAATCAGCTCCATTTTTGCTGAACGGCCGAGATCGCTCACCTCAGGGATCGCTCGTCAAGCTGAGATCGCAGCTCCCTTACCTCCAGCTCAACGAGCCGGAGTATCCAGCGCGACAAAGAGATTTGCAAGTACTGTACGCGTCGTCGTCGTCGTCGTTCAAAATAAAATCTTGCAAAGAACGGCGTCTGATTAGAACCACACAGACTGTCGTGCTGCCCACGCGAAGTCCTACAGAGAAGGCGACCATCACGATCGACTTCTCTTTAGAAAACAGCCAGGCAGCGGAGAGGAAGAGAGATCAGCTTGCAAAGGCAAAAGAGTCCATCCCGAGCAAAAATAGTTGTCACCAGCACCGAGAGCAGCGACGAGGGGGACCGAAAAAGTGTGAAGCCTTCCTTGAACAATAAATTCATCATAGCTAGTTGTCATTCTATACCTTACCTTCCACCGTACCAAGTTTTATCACTTCAACTGCACATGTTGATGTCCAAAGTCTAATTTTAAATTGTCGAAAGATAAGCGACAATATTGCTGACGCGGACCAAGTAGTTTTCAACGTCGTTGTCATGCGACAATCTTCAGATATCTTCATGTGCTTTCTGTTTGCACAAATCTGTGACTACAATTATGGTATCTTATACTATTTACTTTGTTAGTCCAAATCTCGTTGTAATGAAGATTTCTGAAGATAGTCGCATGAAAACGACCTTACAATCTATACCTAGTGTTCCTGGGTTGTCATGGTGTTTATGGGTTGTCACGGTATTGTTATCTTTGTTAGGTTTCTTGTCTCCCTTGCGGCTTGTTTAACTTCTACTCGAAAAAGAGATTTTTATTCCAAACAGCAAAATGTGACCACAAGGGGCAGTGAACTCAACCACTCCCACTACTACTTCTATGAGCTGCTTTAGTGAAATTACTAACGGATTGAAGCTAAGGCCGCAACCACACTACGTACAAATCACAGTACAAATTTTCATTCATACCTCAGTACAAGTCGGTACTCAACCACACTACACTTTTCGGTGTGCATAGATGACGTTTTCACGCGACCAGCACGTGACGTTGTCGTACCGAAGCGTGTGCCATGCGCTGGAAAAGACCGGGAAATTCAAAAACAATGCTGATGCTGATGCTATGTACGACAACCAGGTACAAAAACAAAGTTGTACACAGGAGATGGAGCGCGAAAACGAAGAAAACGACAAACGTGGCTTTCTACAGGGGTGCGCCAGTTGCTGAAAACCTACAAAGCGCATTTTGCATTTCGCATGCGTCGGCATGACGATTTCTACTGTAATGCCGTTTGCACATGATTTTGTACCTGGTGTGGTTGCAACCTAAGGTCGACTTACGTATCTCGCACGTCACATGCAATGGCGTAGACAGGGCGGTCAGGCCTCCAAGTGTATTACGGGCTTGCTGATTTCCATTCGGCAAGCCCTTCCATGCTACTACGTTAGCCCTTGTCAGGGTTGCAGCGCACCCAGCCTGATACGACGCGTCGGAGAGCAGCGTTCCGTTGTAGAACTTACACACGGCCAGTGCCGAAGTGTAGTTAAGTGTGTAGCCGACGGGGCTGATTCTCACCGCACCCTTTGTTGCCTTGCAAGGAGCAGAGGCAAGCAACTCTGCAGACATAGACAGCGACAACAGTAAAAACAGCGAAAACAGTAACAGCAGAGTACTGAACAGATACTTGAACGTCAATTAGATTCAATGATCTCAGGAATTTTGTGGGTTAGCGAGGTGAAATTCTAACGAATTCCGTCTCAAAACCTGCAAAGGACAGTACATGTGCACATCGTTTTGCACATAACGACTTCAAATGTTAACGTTAAATCGTCAGAATTACATGTTCGTTAACATTAGTGGTCTCACAGTTGATAGTGAAAACATTGCAGACAGTGACAACAGGCCTACCACCGTCCAGTTAGTTGTAGCGCAAGGGAATACGTGAGTAGAAGTCCAGAGTTAGTTGTAACGCAAGGGAATACTTGAGGTGTAGCTTTGCATAGGTCTCATAGTTGGAAATCCAAACGAGCACAAATGCTCAGCGAAAAGGCAGAAAAATGTGTTAGTGTGTTACACGGAAGGAGAGTTCGGGAGACCAAAATGAGACAGAAGACAGGATGGGAGCAGTTGTAGAAAGAAAGCGTCCCCCTGGGTATTTGTACTGACCGTCAAATCGGCACTGGACATTGCTAGCGGTTGACGTGGACTGTGTTTGGTCATAGCGAAGGGGAAGACAAGCTGGAAACAGAACAAAGGAAAAGGCAAATATAATCAAGAGAAAGCTACAAATAAAATGATACCAATTTTAACGTTATTATCTGCACGTGGACTTTTCACCCAATGACCAGACGCAGCTGAAGATATCTTTGCTGTATTTGAAGGATGCCGAGGCAACGCTGCAAATATTCTAACAAGAAAACTGTCCAACGAGCAACACACGCGTCCTGCCGAATTTGACACTTGACTGACTCACGACTGCCATCCGGAGCACACGAGGAGCATGTCGCACCTTCCACTTGGCAAACCTGCTCTATGCACAGTGTATTGGGGAATTCACCCCTCATCAGTTGAGCTTGAGTAGGCTGAGCTAGATTGTGCCTGAAAGCACCACTTATATAGTGCTCTCCAGGCAAAACCATCACCAGGGATACAAACTGTGTGTTCCTCGTTGGAGCAGCCAACTTCATCACTAATACCGCCGAAGTCGCAACTTCTAAATAAGAACATTGTCCATTTTTTTAAAGCAACATTTCGGCTTTTCGTCCTCTTCGAGTTAGCAATAGTTCTAGCTGGGAAAACCAAGAAGGCGGAGAGGGAGGACGAGTTACAAAAGAAAAAAAGTAACAAATGCCGTTACAATATCAAAGAAGCATGGAGTCGAATTTCAGTACCAGTATAGGTAACCTTTCCTCCATGAACCATAGAAGTCGGAATGCTATAGCCGGGGTCCTCCCAGCATAGTGAAAGTATGCCCAGGGTATCAACATGGGCATTACGGATACAAAAAATATGCTGATGTGATACGAAAGAAAAAAGAAGAACAATGGTGCCGTAAACTCAGGACGTATGCCGTGTCGTACAAATCATTCAAGATTTCACAGTTCACCCCAGCCGTCCCGGCGGGCCCTCTCCGTCTGCGTTGGGTCGAATGGGAACCAGGCTAAGAAGTGCACATTCGAAAATATGAATAGAAAATGGATCTTCGCTTCTCTAACAAAACAATTAAGGTTAGAATATGGTCGTAACGTACTCTTAGTAGAGTAGAGAGCTGAAGCTTTTCAAAACACTCAATATCTCCTAATTCGGCCAAGTGACATCAAAGTTATGATCAAAACGGGACAGGGTCCGTCGTTTGGACCATGAATTGCCCAGGTTTGGTGGAGGAAAAATTGTTCAAAGAAACTTTGAGCCTTCTTCTTCGTCATGGTAGTTGTCGTGTTTGGACAACAAACTACTTTTGTTGTAGGGTTGAACATATGCAGTGCGATTTCAAGTTCGAGTACCGTATTTCCCCGATTATAGGTCGCACTCGATTATAAGTCGTACCCCCATTTCCAGGTTTGAGCAATATATTGACTTCAGTAGTAGGGCTGTGTTTACATGAGAAATTTCAACCCGGGTCGAGTTCAGCCCGGGTTGAAAGTCTGTATGATAGACAAAAGAGGTGAGCGTTTACATGAAGACAGTTGACCCGGGTCAAATACTGATATGCCGCCAAAAGTCCACTTCTACAGTCCTGTATGGTCACGTGAATCCGTTCGCGCGAAATTTGCATCTGCAGTGCCGTTCAAACCTGGCGCGAGATACGCACAGAAGTACATTTGTACGATTTTCTTGACCCGGGTTGATTTCAACCCTCCCCCCCCCCCCCCCCGCCCCAAGGGGAGGGTTGAAATCAACCCGGGGCGAAATTTCAACCCGGGTCAAGCGTAATGCGTCATGTAAACGCGCCATTCGTTTTGTGTGCATGGCGGGTTGAAATCTAATCCGGGTCGAACTCAACCCGGGTTGAAACGCCTCATGTAAACACCGCCTAAGGCATGCTCGATTGCAAGTTGTACCCTCTTTATCACCAAACATGATTAATTTTTAGTGTGAAAAGGTGCAACGTATAATCGGGGAAACACGGTACTTCTATTTTTCCGATCGAATATTCGAGTACACGAGTATTCTTCTTCGCCTAAAATTGCACATAAAAGTGAAAAATTAACATGATGAAAGCCACGATTGAATAGACTGGTGGCCATCTTGTGGACTTTACTGATTGCTGGGTCGTCTCTCCTGGCTCTCGTCTTATACCACAGTTCACAACACAGCCTGCTTGCTGCTCGGGAATTGCTGATTTCTGGAGAAAATGAAGTTTAACGAACGTGCGTGGATAGTGCAAAAACGAGGACTCTGATTTGTGTTGAGTGCGATTTTCCCTTGAAGACGATCAAACTGTTGTGTCCTGACCCCCATGCCCACAAGCATCTGGGAAGCGCTAGCAGATTGGGGGGAGTCCCTGAACAAGAGCACGCGCGGTGTGATCATGCCAGTGCTACATAAGTAGATATATTACTACTGTGTACAGTACACATGAGTACCTATCTAACAGGAGTACATATCTAACAGGAGTACATATACTATAACACATGCTGTGAAGACATTGGCAACCAACTTACGTAGCTCGCATAGAGTAAGAAGAGGAAATTGCCAACGTCGTGCCGGAGTGCTGTCTAATGCGACACGAGTTACTGATTCTCCTGGACCGACTAGGTGAAGAGCACATTGAGCGCTGATCGATGCGTCCGATATGAAGGGGGCATTGTAAAGTTTGCAAAACTCTTGTGCTGGAAGTTGTGTTAACTTTTCGTACGATGGGATAATTATAGACGAAGATGAGCTACAGTATTGGTAGTTGCTCGGGCGAGAGGCTGCAGTCAGTCACAATAAGAAACAAAAAGAGCTAAAAGGAACAAAACAAGCAAAAACTTTTACAAAACCCTATTGTGTGATCTGTATGTTAAATTATTTCATGCAACTACTTTTTTGGACGAAGATCTGGCTAGTTATTGGTTCCAACCAAACTGATGAAATTGGTGCTGAGCCGCAGATGTCGTACAGATGAAATTTTCGCTCGAGATTGACCAACGGTGTTGGGAGTTCCTTGGTCATGTACTGAGAATGCAGAAGAGCTCTCCCCCACAGCGCGTGTTAGAGTTTTCAGCCACCGCGAGCCTGAGCGGTCGACTGGGCCAACCCAGGACAACTCTCCTCTCCGCTGTTTCTCAGGACTGCCTAGCCCGACTCGGCATTCGCCTGGGCACGCTTAGAGGCCTTAATCAGCTGCGGCAGTTGGCAGGGGATAAGTCACGGTGGAATGGCACCCTGCGGCACTCATCTTCCTCTGCCGAGCCGCGTCCTTGACTTATCCCCTGCAGGGTGCACGAACTGTCTACCGTCTTTCTGACATTGCCACTCGAACTTGACAATAGAAGCTGCTTTTCGTATGTGCAGTTACATTGAGCCATGGTGTTTTTGTCTTTTGTTTGTGAATCCTTCCGGGAAGCAAATGCTGGTTTTTATGCATTCGTGTAATTACGCAGCGTTATTTGCAATAATAGACACCCTTAGCAAACAACGGTAACGCTATTTTTTACGGTACTCGTACCTTGATCACCCAAATAGCGTTGAAGCTGCAGCGTATAAACGTTATGGGGGCTGATTTATCGTTGTGACCAACGGTACGTGTTTTGGCCAAATATTGCATAGTCCGTACGCATTTCACCTTGTATCGCGTATATGGTGACAAAAATGGTTGTACCGCGCGAAATCAAAGCTATTCTCGTGGCAACAGCGTACTAAAAATAGCGTGCATCTTGCTAAAGGTCGAACCCAAATCACGGTATTTTCCCCCTTACGATAATACCGTTACAACATTACGTTTTTTGCTAAGGGTGTCTAATAATAATAATAAACTGTAAAAGCTGGAAAAGCGACTGTCTGCCAGTCGGTAGTTTTGGGCTAAATTGGTGGAATGTGCAGGCATGGCACACAGTGTGCACCCAACCCTGCATGTGCACAACTACGGAAATTCGTACCTCTGTACGAGATGATGTAACGATGTAATGCTGTAATGATTTAGTGCCCATAAGGATCGACTGTACAGACGGAAAGAAACGTTTTACACTACTCACTGTAACATCTTGGCACATGGTAAACTTGACCATCGTCTGCTTCACATCTGCGAGTAAGATTGCCCGATGGAATATAGCCAAGCTGGCATATGTACTTGTCTGCATCAAATTTCAGCCCCGGGTAAATACGGCAATTCTTGGCTGCACGACAAGTCCACAGGGCAGAACAAGGAGATAAATTAGCGCGCTGTGCGCACCCTGACGAACCGCATTTCGCCGCTTTCGCTGTTGCTGTGCCGCCTTCGCTGTTGCTGTGCCGCCTTCGCTGTTGCTGTGCCGCCTTCGCTGTTGCTGTGCCGCCTTCGCTGTTGCTGTGCCGCCTTCGCTGTTGCTGTGCCGCCTTCGCTGTTGCTGTGCCGCCTTCGCTGTTGCTGTGCCGCCTTCGCTGTTGCTGTGCCGCCTTCGCTGTTGCTGTGCCGTCTTCGCTGTTGCTGTGCCGCCTTCGCTGTTGCTGTGCCGCCTTCGCTGTTGCTGTGCCGCCTTCGCTGTTGCTGTGCCGCCTTCGCTGTTGCTGTGCCGCCTTCGCTGTTGCTGTGCCGCCTTCGCTGTTGCTGTGCCGCCTTCGCTGTTGCTGTGCCGCCTTTGCTGTTGCTGTGCCGCCTTCGCTGTTGCTGTGCCGCCTTCGCTGTTGCTGTGCCGCCTTCGCTGTTGCTGTGCCGCCTTCGCTGTTGCTGTGCCGCCTTCGCTGTTGCTGTGCCGCCTTCGCTGTTGCTGTGCCGCCTTCGCTGTTGCTGTGCCGCCTTCGCTGTTGCTGTGCCGCCTTTGCTGTTGCTGTGCCGCCTTCGCTGTTGCTGTGCCGCCTTCGCTGTTGCTGTGCCGCCTTCGCTGTTGCTGTGCCGCCTTCGCTGTTGCTGTGCCGCCTTCGCTGTTGCTGTGCCGCCTTCGCTGTTGCTGTGCCGCCTTCGCTGTTGCTGTGCCGCCTTCGCTGTTGCTGTGCCGCCTTCGCTGTTGCTGTGCCGCCTTCGCTGTTGCTGTGCCGCCTTCGCTGTTGCTGTGCCGCCTTCGCTGTTGCTGTGCCGCCTTCGCTGTTGCTGTGCCGCCTTCGCTGTTGCTGTGCCGCCTTCGCTGTTGCTGTGCCGCCTTCGCTGTTGCTGTGCCGCCTTTGCTGTTGCTGTGCCGCCTTCGCTGTTGCTGTGCCGCCTTCGCTGTTGCTGTGCCGCCTTCGCTGTTGCTGTGCCGCCTTCGCTGTTGCTGTGCCGCCTTCGCTGTTGCTGTGCCGCCTTCGCTGTTGCTGTGCCGCCTTCGCTGTTGCTGTGCCGCCTTCGCTGTTGCTGTGCCGCCTTCGCTGTTGCTGTGCCGCCTTCGCTGTTGCTGTGCCGCCTTCGCTGTTGCTGTGCCGCCTTCGCTGTTGCTGTGCCGCCTTCGCTGTTGCTGTGCCGCCTTCGCTGTTGCTGTGCCGCCTTCGCTGTTGCTGTGCCGCCTTCGCTGTTGCTGTGCCGCCTTCGCTGTTGCTGTGCCGCCTTCGCTGTTGCCGTGCCGCCTTCGCTGTTGCTGTGCCGCTTTCGCTGTTGCTGTGCCGCCTTCGCTGTTGCTGTGCCGCCTTCGCTGTTGCTGTGCCGCCTTCGCTGTTGCTGTGCCGCCTTCGCTGTTGCTGTGCCGCCTTCGCTGTTGCTGTGCCGCCTTCGCTGTTGCTGTGCCGCCTTCGCTGTTGCTGTGCCGCCTTCGCTGTTGCTGTGCCGCCTTCGCTGTTGCTGTGCCGCCTTCGCTGTTGCTGTGCCGCCTTCGCTGTTGCCGTGCCGCCTTCGCTGTTGCTGTGCCGCTTTCGCTGTTGCTGTGCCGCCTTCGCTGTTGCTGTGCCGCCTTCGCTGTTGCTGTGCCGCCTTCGCTGTTGCTGTGCCGCCTTCGCTGTTGCTGTGCCGCCTTCGCTGTTGCTGTGCCGCCTTCGCTGTTGCTGTGCCGCCTTCGCTGTTGCTGTGCCGCCTTCGCTGTTGCCGTGCCGCCTTCGCTGTTGCTGTGCCGCTTTCGCTGTTGCTGTGCCGCCTTCGCTGTTGCTGTGCCGCCTTCGCTGTTGCTGTGCCGCCTTCGCTGTTGCTGTGCCGCCTTCGCTGTTGCTGTGCCGCCTTCGCTGTTGCTGTGCCGCCTTCGCTGTTGCTGTGCCGCCTTCGCTGTTGCTGTGCCGCCTTCGCTGTTGCTGTGCCGCCTTCGCTGTTGCTGTGCCGCCTTCGCTGTTGCTGTGCCGCCTTCGCTGTTGCTGTGCCGCCTTCGCTGTTGCTGTGCCGCCTTCGCTGTTGCTGTGCCGCCTTCGCTGTTGCTGTGCCGCCTTCGCTGTTGCTGTGCCGCCTTCGCTGTTGCTGTGCCGCCTTCGCTGTTGCTGTGCCGCCTTCGCTGTTGCTGTGCCGCCTTCGCTGTTGCTGTGCCGCCTTCGCTGTTGCTGTGCCGCCTTCGCTGTTGCTGTGCCGCCTTCGCTGTTGCTGTGCCGCCTTCGCTGTTGCTGTGCCGCCTTCGCTGTTGCTGTGCCGCCTTCGCTGTTGCTGTGCCGCCTTCGCTGTTGCTGTGCCGCCTTCGCTGTTGCTGTGCCGCCTTCGCTGTTGCCGTGCCGCCTTCGCTGTTGCTGTGCCGCCTTCGCTGTTGCTGTGCCGCCTTCGCTGTTGCTGTGCCGCCTTCGCTGTTGCTGTGCCGCCTTCGCTGTTGCTGTGCCGCCTTCGCTGTTGCTGTGCCGCCTTCGCTGTTGCTGTGCCGCCTTCGCTGTTGCTGTGCCGCCTTCGCTGTTGCTGTGCCGCCTTCGCTGTTGCTGTGCCGCCTTCGCTGTTGCTGTGCCGCCTTCGCTGTTGCTGTGCCGCCTTCGCTGTTGCTGTGCCGCCTTCGCTGTTGCTGTGCCGCCTTCGCTGTTGCTGTGCCGCCTTCGCTGTTGCTGTGCCGCCTTCGCTGTTGCTGTGCCGCCTTCGCTGTTGCTGTGCCGCCTTCGCTGTTGCTGTGCCGCCTTCGCTGTTGCTGTGCCGCCTTCGCTGTTGCTGTGCCGCCTTCGCTGTTGCTGTGCCGCCTTCGGCACCCATACCACAGTCATTACTCCAGACATCGGTGCGTTGGCGTCTTCTTGTTCAAATGTAAACATTACTTAACTCACTTCTTGCCTGACACTCGAGTGCGAGCGGCTGGGACCTCCTTCCGCCAAGAAGGAAAGACCATTTCTTTCTCATCTTTCTTTCTTTCTTGACATTCTTGATTTTCTGGTACGGCGTTTTACGCAGTTTAACCATAAATAGACATTTTTACACTGACCATGCACCCATATGTTTTGACGTCAGAGCATATGTGTTTGCCTTACAGGACATGCTTTGACTCACCGCTAGGCTTGGAACAGAACGGCACTGACGTGAGTGTCCCGTGAGCTGTGCACATCGGCGTGGCATCTCCCACGAGCTCACGACCAGCGTTGCACGAATAGCTAGCGCTCTCCGTGTACCAGATGGTTGCCTTCTTGACAACGCCGTTATCAATGCTAGGTACATGGCACTTGACACCAGCTGTACACAGAACACAGTGAGGGCAACGAGAATAGCAGTGTTCCAAATTCAACAGAGAAAACCCAAAAACGTGACAGTTCAGGTAGCTCGAAAGGAAACCAATAAATACTGCAAACTGTCTAATATTGGCAGCGAATTAATGTTCGCTATTTTCGCCATAAGAGCGTATCGCGAATATTACCCAGCGCGAAATCAAACGTCAACAGTGGGTGTGTCACATCGGCTTCGGCAGCCGACGGTTCTCCCAGGTTGTAAGACAAACTTCCCTGGGTTGTACGCTTGCACGACAGGTGTATGTAGGTGGCCGCAGTGCTTCGCAAACGTTTGCCATCGCAAACGTTTGCCATCGCAAACTCGCTGGGTCTAAGAAATCGCGAAAATTTATTGACGCGAATATTGGTCAGTTTACAGTAGTTCTTTGGGCGTTCTTTTGAGCAGGTCTTGAGCAGGTCTTGAGCAGGTCTTGAGCAGGTCTTGAACAGGTCTTGAGCAGGTCTTGAGCAGGTCTTGAGCAGGTCTTGAGCAGGTCTTGAGCAGGTCTCACGTGGACATATCATGACGATATGCCCGTCGAAGGTTCGAGCCACCCTTCTGCAGAATTTCTTCTTCTTTTCTGTACTGGTTTTGACAAGAACAGCCTACTAGTATACGATTGCCGGACAAAGTAGTAAGTTAAGTTCTGTAGGTAACAGCATCATGAAACTTAGTAGGTACTCTCCAAATAACCAAAAGAACATCATTGCCAAATGTGAGGGACATCCATAAGGCAGTTTCAATTTCTTGATAGCGGTAATATGTAAATTTACTTCCAATCCACAAATTAAGGGCACTGGACAAAGTATGTTTCAGGTTGCTGAAGAAGGGTCAAAACTGTGAAGAGTCTTTCCATGCCTATCAAGCTTTACCTCTTCTTCTCGCAGTGTCCTACAGGGTAACAATAGCATTGTAAACGTGTACTGTAAAATCCCGCCAGAGCGCCCCGCCGCCTCTTCCATACACCCTTCCTGACTTCTTGTCTGGGAAGTGATGGATTGTATCCTCGTAGGACTCTGTGATGCCGTATTGTACTGCAGACGCGTGCTCGACCCGGTTGAAAAATGTACGCAGCAGTGCCCCCCCCCCCCCCTCTTGACCAGGGATCGCACAAACCCTGAGTTTTGATGGGTCTGAACGACTCCTGGCTCTTGACCTTTGGTCGGTGTACGAGATGCACGAACACATTTCGTAGGGTGAGTAATTCATGTAGCACTGAATGCAGAAAGTAGGACTCGCCCATCTGCCCCTCCCCACCTACACCTACTTGAAGAGTGGCGGAGGTAGGGGTGATTTGGCGGGATTGTACGGTGATACAATTTTTTTCTTCATCAATGAACTCGTTGTCATGAAATCTTTTTCATGGTATTAAACACATCATTTTTAGGTCTTTTCCTTGTCCCTACACATTAGAAGAATTGATTTGGCAAGATACTTTGTGAGCACGTGTTTTTCACTTAATCACTTCATTGCTAACCTACGGCATTCTCATGACAACTGAAGAATGGCTGTGACGTGACAATGGTGAGGTGCTGTGCTGTATGGTGAGCGAGTGGATGGAGTGAATGCTCAGGGGCCTCTCGTGTTGCTACTTGCCATGGTATACTGTGCCATCTATCAAAGTCACATCTGGCTATCACTACATACCTGTACTCTCACTAACACTCTTTATATTACTAGTATCCTCAGTGTAGTCTATCAGTATCGCCTTTGCTTAGCCTTAATATTCGCGCATTAATCTTCACGCCTAAGATGCGCCATTATGTTTGCCCCTTTTTGCTGCAATAGAGTGAAATTCACTATCTGTTAGCCATTCTACATTATCAACCTTCACTGACGAGATCCTGATGATCGAAACAGCTGCGGTCTGAAGGAGCAGAAAACCAACTGAAGTGTCGTATTGCTGACGGTGTGCTGTGGCAACGTGTTGAGTTCGGCCGGAGAGCGCAGCGGTGTGGTGTGGTGGTTGATAAGAATTGGCAAGATTTGATAAAAAATCAGGCCATTTATTATTGGTGGACACCTTACATCGTAAAAGAGCGAATTTCAGGGCTCACAGCAATCATGCCAAAACCTCGATTACGTGGGAGGACATCTTGGATCTGATCACCATAGAAACGAAATCGCGTGACCGCTAAGCGCAGGCGTAGAACGCAGTCGCGCAAGGAGATTTTGACTTGCTTCGGCTTAGTTGCTGTGACAAGGACTGAGTCGAGAATGGTGAAGGAGATAGCCGGAGACCGTCTCACTATCTCTATTTCATTTCGGTAGTTCTTGTTTCCTTCCAAGTGGATTATTTCGCGAGGAGTGTTGGCCTTATCGGCCGAAGGCTTCATTCAGACTGTCAGCACACGGAGTCCTGCGAAAAGTAGCCCCGAGCAGAATCCTGCAGTCGTTGACGAAAGAGTTCAACATCTACAGCCGGGCAGCTACGCCGCTGATGCACAGGCGCGGGTGACGGGAGAGGGAAAGGACTAGCATTCCTTGACGGCATGGAGCAATGACTCACGTCGTGTTCTAGTTTTAGTTTCTCCGCCGTGAAGTCCTGTTGTGTAAACGTAAATATACGGCTGGTCTGCGAAGAGCCGTGTAGCGCAGTGGTGACGATGTGGAGTTGTGAATTATTTGATTCGCCACTCCGTTTCGTTGCAAGAGAACAAGTCCAATGGCTTCGCCGTTGAGCTGGCCATGTATTTCTTCGGTCTGCCATAACCATGATAACTCCTGGAGGACACAGCGATGAAACGCCAGGCGAGTAGCAAAAACATTTCAAAAAATTGCTTTGCTGCTAGTGTTGTTTCCGCATTCACAACAAGTGCAGCGCGCGCGGTTCTTCCTCGCAGCTGCACTGCAGATAGGGTTGCCTTTGAAATGTTCGTTTGTACCCGTCTCTGGCCCGATTTTGATGGCCAATAGCTTTAAAATAATCACTAGGAAAATTAGAAGAACTTCTCCGAGACTTACCTTCTTACTGTATTAAAATTTTAATCCACTGTTCCTTTTCCCTTGCCTGTATTTCACCTGATGAGAAGGCTTGAAAGTATACTTGTGAAGACAAAAACTTTCAAGATGTTTGTAATGAGCCTGAAGTGTGTCCTTTTTATGAGTATTATCGCATTTTTGTCTCAGAGGAAACTGTTCTCCGAGAGACTTTTCAATTTTAGTACAATAATCCAAATCAGAATTACGCCTGCACCAACTGATACTTTGGCTCCATATATACGCCAAACTGTATCGATTAAAACAAAAAAAACTCTCGGACAAATCCTTACAATGGGTATTGAGAGTATGTTCCTAGAGTTTCAGAGGCCTAGGCAAAAGCATTGGTACAAATGAACATTGTGAATGCACCCCACTTTCAAGTTTTCAGAGATATCTGCCTGATCGCATTTACACGATTCTGGCATGCTGGCTGGCTCATGTAACAGCGGCCTGTCCAAAATGGCGCCCATGCTTTTGTGTGATGCTGTGAGCCCTGAATTTGCGCACCATGACGTTATATCATTGCCATCTGTTCTAAACAGAACCAAACTAAACCAACTAAATAATAGGCCAGGACAGCCACCTTCAGACGCGCCGGCTTAGATCTCCCCCCCCCCCCCCACTCCTGTTTGGTGGCACACTGGTGCTCGAGACAACCAGCATCACCCTCCTCGGTGTGAAGGTGGACGCCAAGTTGACCTTTGGCAATCACCTACGCTCCGTAGCCACCCGTGCACACCAACGGCTTGGAGTCCTAAACAGAGCCGCCCACACCCTCACTATCGCCGGCCGGACGACAGTGTATAAGGTGTTCGTACGACCATTCATGGAGTATGCGCCTCTTGTATGGATGGGAGCTGCGCAGAGTCACCTCCAGCGTCTGAACAATGTTTAGTGCCGCGCCCTCCATGCTATCGGCCCTGGGACACACCTACCCAGCTTGGCCATCCGCCGTACCGTTGCCTCGCTTGCCTGCCTGTACAAGCTGCACAACTTGCCTGGACCTCCACAGCTGCTCTCTGTGTTGCCAACGCGCCATATCACCTCTGCCAACCCCAGAACCCGCAGCGTGCACGGTAGTGTCAGTGGCCATGACCACACCAGCTGCCTGCATCTGCGCCGCTGGCGGTGAAGCGCTCGTTCCCACACTGCAGCATCAGCGATTGGAACTCTCCCCCTCCCTGCCGCTCTCCTGTCACAGCCTCCCCACAGCAAGAGGATGCAATCATTCAAATCGAGCGTTTATCTTCTCAGCACAAACTGGCTCTGGGCAGTCGATTCCCTATGAATATTTTGATGCTATGATAGTTTCTCCCCCACACTCGCTCGTGTTAAACCTTGGGTTTTTCGCATCTTTCTGACCGGTACAGCTCTATCTTCTTTTTTTTCTTGGTTTTTGGTGCGTGTTCTTGGCCGTGATGCCGAGACCTCAGGTCGGCAGAGTCATCAATGCCCCACCATCACTGCTGCGTCTCAGCACAGCGCCTGCTCATTACTTGTCAGTTTGTCCTAGTCTCCGTACCATTGTCTTTCCTTATTCTTTTCGAGCTGGTTATGTGAACATATTTAAAAAAAGAAAAAAAGAAAACAGATCGATGACAGACGGATCAATGGCAGACTTACAAATCTCGCAAAGAGTATACAACTCGGAGGCTAAGTCCGTTTGGCGGTTCCACGTATCGAGTGCTTTGTTTCCTGCCCTTGGTGCTCCTACCCATGTGGCACTGTCATGTGGTGCTACGTAATGTGCGCAGCCAGCTCTGAATGATGCCTCCGATAGAATAGTTCCGTTG